GAAAACAATCAGATGTATATTGACAAATATGATTAAAGAAGCATGCAAAAACTTGGTTAGCTTACAGATCTAATATGTTTCTCCCAATCCTGTCTCTCTCAAAGGTATCCCGTAATTGAAAAGGAAGAAAAAAAAAAAGTGCAGGATAGGAGGGAAAGGGTAAGTAGCAATGAAGAAAAGGCATGAGACGAAAATCAAAACTACCCAAGTGGATAAACTTCTAGGACGGAATCAGAAAACAAAAGGGTGTGAATGCCAAAATAAAAAATAAAACTAAACATCAACACATCCTATTTCCTGTTTAAATGCATAAAATCCATTTTGCTAAACAAATTCAGATTTGTTCCAACAGCTAAGCAGCTCATTTTTAAATAAGCACGCAAAGCTCAACTGTACATATGCAATTTTCTTAGGGTGACATTATAATTGAATGTACAATATGATTACACACATAATTTTTAAAGAAATTCATAGTAAAAGTACTTTTAAATACTTCCATATATCTCTTCCCATCCTGTCATTATTTCGTTTTCTTAGTGAAACATATGAGGTCAGGAAGGGGACTAGGTAGATAAATTGGTCACAGAACAGTAGATTTCAACAACCACTTTCCAGTTTTGTTCTGCCTCTGAAGTATACTAGGGAATTCACAGTTAAGATGCAAAGCATTTCCGCAGCATTTAGAGCTGAAAAGATTTTTACACGTTCCATTAATGCATCATCCTCAACATTCCTGTCTTTCAGAAGATCAAATCAAATTATAGGTACAGTCAAGCAGGCTAATTTGGATCGATTTTGCTGAACGCATACAAATGTGCTTTTAAAAATGAGGATATGTTTGTGTAACAGGCAAGAAGGAATAGTAAAAGCTTTGGTTAAAATCAACAGAGACTAAAATACCCCAGTAGAAATATTGTAATACCTAACTGGAAAGACTTTTTTTCTTTGCACTCTATAATTTCCCAGTGAAAATATTCAAAAAACAACTAGGTATCACCAGCATTAACTTAATTGTGTTTAGCAAATTGCAATTTCAATGTATTTGTGAAAGAAAGTATTCTTCACTATCCTCACAAACATAATTTCCCATGTTAGAGGGCAGTACGTTCTGGAAGATAAAGTACAGGCTGGAAGGCAGGAATTCAGGGATTCAAATCCTCTTTGCAAGGTGGAGGGTCACACACACACCCCAGTTCACTTCTGGTTAGGTTTCCATTCTGCAGACAGGTGTAATTACCTAACTCACCAACTACAAACTATCACTCTGTATACGGGTCTTAACATGGAAAAACCTCTGCCCTAACAAAACCTTCCTCTTCCAGAAAGAGTAAATCTTGCTATGGCAGATATATCTCATTCTTGTACAGAATAACACAAAGTGCCTGTAATTTGAAAGCATATATGTTGGAATTAACCTAATCTTAGATAGCGTATGTCTGCCTCTAAGATAATTTTCCTTTAAAATCAATGGAGATAAATAGGACTCAACAAAGAGCAATTTATCTCAGCCTAAATAGATGAGATAGACAGTGCCCTTGAAACACCTCTGAAGGCGGATGCAAAGACTAGCTCCCTGGCACGTACCTCCACTGTAAGTACACAATGGCTCCTGCCCACAGAAACACATTACGAGTCTTCGTCCTACAGACATTCATGTTTATGCTTAACTTCACCACTGCATATAGTCCTGTTGATTGCTCACGTAGGAATATATTAGAACCATAGAATATCTCAAGTTGGAAGGGACCCATAAAGATCATCGAGTCCAACTCCCCACTCCAGTGGCCAACCACCCTCTCAGTGAAGAGCCTTTTCCCAATGTGCAACCTGAACATGAATTAATATCTTTAGAAATGCTTGTGTGATTATAGTATCTAACTAATATAACTAATTTGGGACAAAATATAACATTCCCATTTCCCCGAGTTCCAGAGCAATCAAGAAGGATCCATCACAAACTTAGTCATGGCAATAACTGTTCTAAAGAGGTGCCACACACCACGAATGCCAGGAACCAGTATTTTTGTCTTTTTTTTTTTTTAAATGGACCACATACACCTTAAATATTAGAAAGATAAGAACCCAAACAGAAGAGTTATCATAAAGTCTAAGATGAGTAACAAATGAGCAGAAAGCTGTTAACACTGTACTAAGGTTATCACACATCGCTGTCATCAGGGCTGCAACATTTTGACCTGCTGAGCAAAATTTGGGAATCGTTCCCAGAGCGGGGACTTCTCCTTTATTGCACCTGTACATATACAATGATAAAAAGCAAACAAAAATTACAGCTAGGTATGGAAGTCAACACAGATGTAAGAAAAATACACTGGAATTCACAGTATCAGAGTGTAATAACAAAAATATTAATTAAAAAACCTCAACAGGCTGAAAACAAGACAAATTTAAGATACATAATTTCAACATCAACAGGAAAAGACTTGACAGAGCATAAAACCAATCACCATTTCCTATACTTTTTTAGTATGTATTATCTTTTTTCTCTTGGTATCTATCTTACTTTAGGAATACAGAAAATTACTAATCCAATACTGCATATTCTTTTTAAATACAGTGTGTATTCCAACTGAGAAAATGTATCAGTACTTTTGTAATTTTTTTAATTCTCTGTTAAGACTACTACTGATGTAAAATTAAGCTAATGTGATTTTCTTAGAAAGTATTAGGAACCACTTTTCTGACTAGTTACCACATACACCACTCTATATTTTTAACTATTGTCTGTAAACACAAGAATGTTGACAAGTTTTGACAGGGCAAAGTTACACCAAAGTCCTTTTTAATACCATTCAAAACCAGCAAAAATGGATGAGAGTACAGATTTTCAGACTGATTTTAGCATTGGCATCCCTGCAATCTTACTTGCTAAACATGTATGAGCCCTCAATAAAAACACGTCTCCCAGTAGCATTATCTAAACTCAGCAAAAGGATGGTATTCTGTCAACTACTGAAAATGGACTTAAATTAATGATTAATTACTGATCTATTTACATCATGCAATATTTTTGCATTATTCAAAACCCTTTTATTATCTAATTTAAAGCTATGAATACTGAAGCCTTTCACGTTTATGGCAGATTTCTCTAAGTGTCACGTACTAACTCCAACAAAGCTTTAAAGCAGAGCTGAGAAATCCAGAAGTCTCAGAGTAGAAAAGGGTCACAAGGTGGATGAAGCCCCCAGCTCCTTACAACACAACTTGCAAGGAAGAGATGTGCACCTTTGAATTATCCAGTAATAATGCAAAAGGTCAAGGTAACTAGGAGAAGCTATTTTATTGAAAATTTTATTCATTTTGTATCCAGATGCAAGAAAACTTTATCAGCCAGAAATGGAAAGAAAAGGGGAGCATTTCCCTTTAAACCAGAAATGCTTAGTATCTGGCTTGCTGCCAATTAAGAATGTGTAGCAGGAGGCATTTCAACACCTACACAGCCTCTAATTTTCCAACTGCAGAAGATTTTTCTTCTATTTCTACCAAAGAAGCTGCATCATAGATTTTCTTTAAATATTAAAGACTTCAGGATTATAATGAATTATTGCTAAATGCTCAGATTTAGATATTTTTGTACTAATAAATATATTAAAATAAATGCTAAATCTTTTCTTTAGAGTCACAGTAAGCTCAATGTAATGAAGGTGCTATTCCTTTATTAACAGTGCTAACTATAGAAGAACTCAACAGACCCCTATACTTAGAAGCAATTTAGCTCAACCTCTTTTGTGCTAGCAAAATCTACATAGATAATATTTAAATATAAAACTTCAGGACTCATCTTCTGAGTTCATCCTACAGGAGATCCCAGTGACTTTACAATGCAGGGAATCCTCAGCCAGGGGGAAAGCTCTCATGCCTGAACACTTCTGTCCTAATACTTACTGCCTCTGCAACACCTGCCACTTGCTGCCAATCAGCAGTATCAAAGCTGATCTAGCTAGAAGGTTCACTGAAGAGCTGGTACTTCTCAAGTGCAAGTGTAGCACTAAGCCTCTCCCCTCTAGCCCCTGCATTTGGTTTTACTTGTTTTTTCTACCCTCATAAAATGGAAGTCTACACTTTATTTAGGACTGCCTTGAGACCGAGCAAATCTTCCTAGAAACCATTTACAAACATATGAAGGACAAAAAGGTGACTGGGAGTAGTCAGCCTGGATTTGCAGAGGGGAAATCATGCCAGACCAACCAACTTGACAGCCTTCTACAACAAGATGACTGGCTTGGACGGTGGAAGTTTTTTAATTTATTTTAGCAAGCCTTTTGACATTGTCTCCCATAATATCCTCATAGATAAACTGAGGTATAAGCTAGATAAAAGGAAAGTTATGTGGACTGAAAACTGGCTGAATTATTAGGCTTAAAGGGTTGTGATCAATGGTAAGGCAACCAGCAATACTGTTTAACGTTTTCGTTAATGACCTGGATGATGGGACAAAGTGCACCCTCAGCTAAACCAGGAGGAGGGTT